CAGTTTGAGAACCACTGGTCTAAATGAAACCTGACTCCTTTGAAACCAGATTCCTTTTCTTAAATGGTGTAATGCTTTGCGTTCTGTGGTATTTCTTATTCCTTGTTTAGTTTGTATGTCCCCTTAAAGTGAGCATTAGTGCAGCTGTTTCCATCTCACCTCACGAACTTTGTCCTTGAAGCTGCGCCTCAGAATGTCCTGTACGCTTTGGTTTTGCGTATTTTTCGTGCTCAGCCTGCTGCTGCGCCGGACACTGCTGGTTTCCACAGTTCTGTTAGAGCTAAAGGAAAAAATTTTGTCAAGTTGCTGAATAGAAATTCATCAAAATTTGGTAGATGACTAGTATAATCAAATATTTCCGTTACAACCTCCATAGAACCACACCTATATAAAAAAAGTATCTACTATCTACTATTGGTGACGTCACGTCTATTCTTAGGTTATACTGTTCCATTATTTAATAATACACTAATACATTTTATTTCATAGGCGCCTTTCTGTCACCCGAGGACGCCTTACAGTGAATGCAAAAATAACAACACAGCATTAAAAAAAACAATATAACAATAAGAATATCAGACGTAGAAGGACATTGTAAACAGATGCGTTCTAAGTGCAGGCTTGAATGGTGGGAGTGAATTGATGTTCCTCAAGACGGGGCGAGTTCCAAAGCCTCCAGGAGGAGAGGTGATGCAACCGGTGGGGTGCACAAAGCTGGAGAAGCTCAGCAGCGGAGGATTGGAGCAGGCCCATCGCAAGTTGGTGAAGGAAATGACAGTAAAGTCCAGAGAAGAACGGACTCGATGTGCATCCTGCCAGTTAACACTGTTAAGTACGTTAACACGGCGGGGACTCGGTCGAAATGGACACAGGAGCGGTGACAGTAAATCATCAGTAATCAGTAAATTCCTAAAATTAATTAATTAATTAATTAATTAAAAACTTAAAGTGAAGCTAAAAGTTACGGGCGAGCAGCAGCAGGAAGTCGCGGCCAGCGTTCAACCGTTCTACGGCAAAAAATATTTTATGACACTTCACAGTGTAACAGACCTAACCAAAACCGAACTATTAAACATGTACAAGTGGTTATAGTTTACCTTCTAGTGATGGGAGTCCGCGGTTGTTCCGTGCTGAGGATATTTCTCAACAGTACTCTGGCTGACAAATCCTCCGTAAAATCCATTTGGTCAGCGGACCTACGACTTTGCTTTTGTGGTTGGCGTAAGCTAATAAGTATACGAGAACAGCAGTTTAAACAGGGTTTAAACGTTTCGCCAATTCTAGAAAACCCTTTTAAAACGCCTTGTTCGTCCGGTATTTTTAAATAAGACAATATCGCCGTATCAACGGGTATGTTTCTCACACTATCCCGCGTTATTTTTAATTAAAGTCTCGCGAGATCCACATCTTCTTCGTTGGTGTTTTCTCGTTTCGAAGACAGGGCACTCTCGTCACCACCATAGGGACAATAAAGGAACAGCACTGAACGTCTTTGGAAGTTCACCGTTTAGAATTTATGTTTATTAATTTTGGTTATTTCCGGAATTAGAAACCGAAGTAACATTCATGATATTATGTAGATAAAACGATAATTTGCTTTAAACGCTAACGTGGCAGGAGCTATTGAGAGTTATATTAGAGTCCAACAGTTGCAAAGCCCAGAAATATATTTTAGTAATGTTGTCTGATTTTAATATTTAATTTAAAAATAATTAATTAATAAGTTAATTAATTAATATGTTAAGTAAATCACATGGTGATACGTTTTTGACAAGCATTGTTTTCCTGTTTCGAGATGTAAAGGAAAAAATAACTTGTTGTCAAATTTGTATTGTTCTTATTGTTAGTTTATTCATACAATTATCATTAATTATTATAATGTAATAAATAAAAAGACTGATACTAGAGATAGAAATGATTTAAATAGATTTAATGATTTACAACTTGGTCAAAAATAAACTCATAAATTGGTAAAACAGGTGACTGCCTGCTTTATTTATACAGCAATGTATGAACAGAATGATTCCCACCCCTGGTAAACTGAGTGTATTGAGCAGTTTGAGACTCAATTCGTCCTCAGGTTTTGACTCGACGGCTCTTCACACAGACTGAAAGACTTCAGATTTAAAAATCAGGTCTGTCCTTCTTCAGCTTGGAGTAGTCCGTGCTGACCGAAAAAAGCTGGACACGCACACACACAGACACATAGATAAACAATCAGTTCAGAGCAGTTTGGACTTTGAAGCAGGTTACAGGAAAGGTATAGATTATTATTTACAAACATACACTCTTTTCTAATAAACTTCTGTTATGACTGTTATAAAAGATATTGTAAACGGTTACTGAGAGAAAGCCTTTACTTTGTACTGCTGATTGTGCTCCAATTTGTTCCAGGGCTCAGGGTTGTTCTTGCGATCCCATCTGAGAACAAAACAGGAAAATCATCATCATCAAACTATTAAAAATGTTTATTATAATTATTTACCAAGTTATGTTCAACTTGAATAGGTTTTAGAAATTATTTTTCAATGTTACACCTTTTGGTTACAAAGTTTGTTTGGTTACAAAGGTAAATAACCTTGTACATACAAAGTTTGTTTGGTTACAAAGGTAATAACCTTGTACATTGTTTGTTTGTTTTGTTATATTTTGTTATATGTTATATTTTCAGATAATTATCAGTAATATTATAAGTATTACATATTATAAGTAATGGTGCGTACACAAAAGAAGACTCAACAAAAGTACTCATACAACTACGGTTTCGAATAGATGATATCAGGACAACCTCAACGACAACTAAAGAAAAACCATGTGCAACACACTGCAGATTTTATCGTATTGAGCAGTTTGAGATTTCAAGGGAACTTACGAGACATCTGGGTTTTTTAGAGCCAGTCGAGCCAAATAAGTGGCGCTCATGGTTACTCCACCACCAATGAAGACGAAGAGGGGGATCAGCTGTTGGGCAAAAGAGGACAGTCAGTACTATACATTTCATCATTCCAACACAACAGCGCTGTTTATCAACAAGTGTCTTAGCTTACATGCTTAATATTCCTAAATCGTATATGGTTTTAAATATATATTGAACCATTAACACATATAGAAAAAAAAAATACAAATTACCTCTGCTGTTTGTGTAGCTGGTCGTGGTAAACCAATCAATTACAGGTCCCACCTCCAGGGTTGAATGATTAACTTTAGCTCCAATAGTGGCAAGTCCCTGGTACCAGCTACCGCTCTGAGTCTTATATTCTATTCAACAGGTCTATGACGCTGCCCTGTTTTGTCTTACTATTACAATCACATTACTTACTATAGCAGAGTGCATGGGAGAAAGTCACCTTGGAGAATTCCATTGTACATTTCTTTAAAGTGCAACCCATTGCCCAATCAGAAGTCAGTACTGAAAATACTGCAGTACATGACTGGCCGGAAAATAATTTCTCATCTGCTTTGTTTGAACTCCCAGTGGACATATGCTGTAGCCACTGCTTTAAAACAATGCTACAGCCCTCTACAACATTAATTATACAGGTATGGCACTCATTTTACTTGGCATATCCTTGTTTTGTTGAACCAATATTACCAAATCTTGGGTTGACATAAAATGACAAAAACAAAATCACTTTCAGCTGGTCTTGGCTCAGCAGTTAGCTTCAATTGCTGTCCCTTTTATGAAATTATATATATTCATTATGAACATTTTTATGTTAATACAAATGTTAAACATACATTGTTTATTTATTTATTTCTATATGTTAATACAAATGTTAAACATACATCGTTTATTTATTTATTTATTTATGGAGTTTTACCTAACATAAAAGTATTCCTCTTTATTTTTACTCAGGTTCAGTGTGATAAACCCCAACTTCCGCTTAGCTCCCTTGTGCCCGTTCTCTAGAAACGTCTCTGCACATGCATGGGGAAATGGCAAAGCCTTGACTCATACCAGTGTAGAGGCAGCATACGTCCGGTAGTTGCCTTCTTTCATGGTTGTTAACATGTATACTACACTCGTATAATAATAATGTCATCAACGATACTAATATAATATCATAATTACATCATATAATAATTTTGTTGCGGTTTATATGCGATATTTGGACGCCATTTATCAAAGGAGCAACATTCCGTCCAGAGATGATAAATACAACGTGATAACATAGCGAGAAAAATGTCCCAATATGTATAATATAAAAAACAGTGTATGGTAAGGAATATCAGCGTGTATTGTGGAAAGTGAAAACGAGGCTCCACCTGTCTTATGTTTTAATTCCATGCCTTAATAAGTTTTATTTCGTATTCATTCTTCAACAGTGTAACTTAATACATTTGTCTGAATGTTATATGTTATAATAATAATAGAGACACAGGAAGAGAAAAAGAAGCGGCAGAGCGCCCGTTAGGCAAATTTCAATGTCAACGGGTCATATACAATGCAGGGGAAAGATAGCGGCGAGGACTTACAGCTGGGTGGGTTTTAAGTTGTTTGGTTACGAGTCCAAATATTGACGACATGTCGAAAAATTCTCCCACTTACACGCTCCGTGAAAAAGAAAGTATCTACCCACAGTCGTGCGCAGTGTCTTTGGATTTCTGCAGGCCGGGAGGACACACCGAGGTGAGTAGTACAACTGCGCTTCCTCCACCTCTCAGCCAATCAAAGACAATGACGTCACAGCTGTACTGCAACACCACATCTGGATTAAGAGCTCACATAGTCCAGTGAAAACGACTTAAATGTCAATTTCAATATAACAATAACCGCATAGAAAATGTTCAACTCATTAAACAGAATCGGGCTCAAACCAGTAGCGTACAACGAGACGACATACAGTCGTCACAGTATATCTAAACCAAAATATGATGGGTGTGGACATGAACATGGAACATGAATTATAATAATAACAACAATAATAATAATAACAACAACAACAACAACAATAATAATGTGGCGGTTTGGCCCAGAGGCAATGTCTCTGTCATTGGTGTGAACCCCCAACATGCAGCGCATTTACGTGCCCACTGGGAGGCAGCAAAGACACCAGTAGAAAAAGAGTGACGACAGACAGATAGATTAGTCCAATTTAACTCATAAAATTAACTAACTTTGTTCTATTGCACCCTCACAAATGCATTTTTTCGTGTGTGTTTTGTGAGTGAGTCACAGTTAGCCGAGTCTTAAAAATTGAGCGAGTTTACCACCGCTAAATCCAAGAAATTATAAATCTGTGATCTCGATCCCGGCACACGGTGGCAGTGTGAAATGTAGCGATCGATTGCTCATGTCTGATCTAGTCGACGTAAAGATGGATCCCTGCTGAAACAGGTAAATAAACCGTTCTATCATCTCCGATGTTGTAATTTTGTTCCCGTTGCTGAGGCTTCTCTCTAGGAACAAAATGAGCGTCCTTTTCAACCTGACTCCTTACTTAGTCTTTGCCGAGGGCGGGGGCGGGCAGCCGCAGTGTACTGCAACAACAGCACCGCCGATGGTTCGCTACCTGGTTTGTGAACTAGCCTCGCTAATTTACAGTCGTTATTTCTTATTCGGGGAAAAAAGTACCACCAATCGCAGTGGATCAGCCACATTGTTTACCATACACTGAGCTGAGTGCTGACTGACCCCAGACACTGAGCAGTGTTAGCGTGTTAGCCTTAGCCACCAGCGCCACTCTGCTGCTGCTTGTGGAGCTCATATCACCTCCTGGCATTTCCATTTCCCCCAGCAGACGACACAGATCAGAGTTCTTTGTTTTCGCTGCATTCACGACAGCGCTGTGTTCGGAACGCTGTCAGAAACATGCAGCCTCCGCCTTTGTGTAATTGTGTTTTTGTGTCTGACTTCTTTGTGGTATTTTTATATTCCTAGGTTATAACTCGGGAAGCTGCTCGTTGCCAGCCTCTGTTCACCGTGTTGTTGTAAGTAAGTAGCTCCATCACACGACGACCAATATGCTCGCATTGAGGCGTTTTTAATGTGCCAGGTCCCACTGTTAGTCAGTAGTTTAAAGACCTTGACTGAACATGCTGTGAATATACAGTATTTTACTATTAAAGAGACTAGGACGTCGACATTTCAAATGTAAAGCCAACAGCAGTCTTGTTTTAGATGCTTTATTTAGTCTCCTATCTAGACCTGCCACTCTGGTACCTACACAATGCCTAGACAAAAGCTCAATACTTGCTGTTCATAACATTTCCTGCTATATTTTCATCTCGTCTGTCTCAAGGACACATGTTCTGTATTTTGAATAAGATTTCATTTTGTTGTTGTTTTTGTGGGGTTTTTATGTTTTCATGGCTAAAACGCCACCACCACAACAAAAACACGATAGACCAGAGATGAACTGGTCCCTGTTCAGTAAAAGACATGCTGTAGGCTGTAGGATGGAAAAATCCAGAACGCTTCTCACCTAACTAATTATAATTACTTCCAAAATAAACATTTAATTCATATGTAGTTTTTTTTTCCTTCACGGTTCTCTGCTTGGAAAACAAAAACTACACTTTGCACTGATACATGTCATTAAGTCTAATAAACCATTGTACACTGAGGTGCAGTGTAGGATAACGTGTGTTGTGTTTTTTTTTTTCCCCCTCCTGCTGCAGCCCTCTGTTCTGGCCAATGCTTTCTGCGCTACAGCATGACAACAGCAGTGTCGGCTCATCTCGTAATTTTGGCAAATGAAAATGGAGGAGGTTTCAATGTCCAGCATGGACAACAGCAAGCTGGAGGTACAGTAGGAAATTGTAATGTTGCTGTAGCATCTCTATCACCCTCTCTCATCCACTCTCTCTATTCATTTATTGGCACAGTTTAACAGTGTGTATAGGGAATTAATCCATTTAGGTGTAAAAATATTGCCTGATTTTATTTAAATTTGGTTGGTTAATTAAGTTTTTTGCTGCTGTAATGCAATACATTTGAAAACTTGACTTCTAAACTCTTTGTTTTTGCCTCCGTAACACAAAACTGCAGTTAGTGTTAGATTTACCTCAGAGCTGATTGGGTTAATCCCAGTATTTGCCATAGCCCAGTCATGGGCAAACTATGGCACAGGGGCCAGATGTGGCCCATTCCGCTTTTTGAGCCGGTCCGATGTGGCCCGTTCAGCTTTTTGATCCGGTCCACCTTTTCCAAATTTTATAATTTATTTATATTATCATTATACTACTGCCTTTTCCCTGCAATACCCACATTCCCCCAATAGATGGCGTAGAAAATGATAAAAGCTTTTAAGCCTTTATGCATGATTTTCACATGTCATTTCTCTTAGTTCACACGAATGCTCCATCTATCTGCTCCTTGTTCAATGTTAGGGCAATTGTGGTTCACGAGTCATAAAGTTTGCCCATGCCTTGCCTAGCCTAACTTGTGTTTCTGTTTCCTGGCCTTACTGTTTTAGGGCCTAGCTCAGGACATCCTGTCTGACCTGGTGGAGGATGCATGCCTAGGTCTTTGCTTTGAGGTCCACCGGGCAGTCAAGCAGGGCTATTTTTTCCTGGATGACACGGACCAAGAGAGCATGAGGGACTTTGGTGAGTATGGCTTCAGCCTTCTCTCCTTGTAGAAAAAAATATTTGCCTTCACTTTTTAATACACACACTCAATCTACAAAAATAAATAAATCAACTGTTTCACTAAACTTTTTTCTCCCAGAAACTGACGGAATTAAAAAAATTTTTTTTTTCATTTTTCAGAAATTGTGGACCAGCCTGGATTGGACGTTTTCGGCCAAGTGTACAACCAGTGGAAAAACAAGGAATGTGTGTGTCCTAATTGCAACCGAAGCATTGCGGCTTCACGCTTTGCACCACACTTAGAGAAATGCCTAGGGATGGGACGCAACAGCAGCCGCATAGCCAATCGCAGGTAAGCTCGGAGTCCAGCCCTTTCGGCAACGCCATTATATACTGTTGAAAAAAAACTGTACTGTACTCACTTACTGGCGTGTGCAGTGGAAACGTGAGTGTTCTCTGTTGCTGGCGTAGCCCCTGAAATAGAAAAATCACCATGTAATACAGTACACATTTCTCCAAATGAACTGTCCGCAACACAAATACATTGTGTAAAAGATATCCTGCTGTCTTTGCCTCGGTGATCAGCCGAGCCGAATACAACATTTCACAGATTCAGCGAATTGTTTGTCATTCATAACATTGCCCAGGGTGACTGATCACCCTCACTGTGGAAACTTTGGCTAATCTAACAACAGCCTTTGGTCTAACAGGCGGTGCTCTTACCAGCTTCTCATAAACATGACTATTAAGATATGTAATCATTAACTAAATTGAAGGTTCATAACAAATAGCTTACATTGATCACATTAGGCAGGCAACAATTGAAAACAAATATATATATATAAATATATATATAACTATATATATACACAAAAATACAGTTTATATATATATATATATATAGCTTGTCTATGCTTTAACATTGTGTTGTAATACATTTTTATACTTAGTTTAGATTATAATTTAATAGATTATTCAGTCTAATGTGCAATTCAGTGTTTTTAATTTAAGGCGAATAATGAAGAATTAGAGGCTCGGTTTTCAATTCACGGTACTTACTGAGCTGCACGGCTGCGTCTAGGCCTGTTGGTGGGGCTGTTGTTACACGGCAAATGAAAACTTGTGCTGTCAGCCATTAATCAGAACAGGAAAATCCCTGATAGGAAGACAAAAAACGGAATCCATAATTTAAATTACACCTTGAACTACATTCTCCCCGCATGTCTTATAAAAGACTAGTGAAGATACAGCTATAAAAATAAGTTGTGCGTGTCCTCTACTTTTCCTTTTTCTTCTACAGAATAGTCACCGGTAACAATGCCAACAACAAATCAGAGAGTGACCAAGAAGATAATGACGACGTCAATGATAACGACTGGTCATATGGAGCAGAAAAGAAAGGTACAACTGATTGTTGGCAAACGAAAACACTACTTACAAGTTGTTTATTATATATATATATATTTTTTTAAATGTCATCTTTTTTTATTACAGCAAAGAAAAGAAAATCTGATAAGGTATGTTTTTGAATTCCAACTCAGTGTTTTGAACACCTACGAATTACGTACATTAACAAATTTTTAATTTATTTGTTGCTCGCTTTTTTTTTGCTACTCTTTAGAACCCCAACTCACCCAGAAGATCCAAATCATTCAAGCATAAGAACAGTAAGTTGATATATTGAGCATTGACATTAGCAGTTATTTTACATAGTTTAGAGCACACGTGTCAAACTCAGGCTCGGGGGCCAAATCTGGCCCAAAGTGTAATTATATTTGGCCCGTGAGAAAATATCAAATGTGTACTAGAGTTAGCCCGTCAGTATATAGACCCTATATACTGGCAGAATTTGTAGTATTAGTGGTGGATGGGGTATGTTATAGCACATGCAGAATTTGTAGTATTAGTGGTGGATGAGCTATGTTATAGCACATACATTTACGGTAGTTTTTTGTTGTTGTTTTGTCCTGTGAAAAAAGAAACTCATTTTTTTTTTTGGCCTGTGAAAAAAGAAACTCGAAATTAATACCATCGATGTGTGTTTTATTTCAAATTTAATTTCTCATGTGTTTATAATATTAACCTTTGGTTGTTCCAGATTCAATGTTTATGTAAAACATCCATATAAAAAAGTTTTACTTTACAGATCTGGAGAGAAGGGTAAACATGAACATTTACACTCAAATTTGTCAATAAATATTAAGTTTGGCCCACGTCCTCATCCCAGTTTATAATTTTGGCCCACTGTGAATTTGAGTTTGACACCCCTGGTGTAGAGCTTCATTGTTAATGAAATGCATAAATGTAGTATGTCCATTAATGACATTCAATGAACCTAATATTCACTCTCTATCTCTGTAGGCATGATGGGGCCTAGACGTCGAATGGATAACCAGGAAAGTCCACGCATGCTGATGAAAGATGAGGCGTTCCCGCAATAAAACACTCGGCTACAAACACTCAATTCAACAAACACTCAGTTCAACAACCATCGTCTGTATGTGTGGGTACACAGACACTCATGCCTAAGCACAAGGAGACCAGAAACAACTTACATGCTGTTCTTCGAAGAACTGGCACCAGTAGATATTGTTGTTGTTGTGGCTAAAAGATATACTGTATAGTGTTTGCTGCTCTGCAGAAACAGTTCAGACCTCTCACTGTATACTTGACAGTTTTTTGTTTTCTCTACAAAAATCATTATACCAACCCCTTTCTCCACTGCAGCCCAGAATAATCAACATCACCGTATACGACGTGACCTCACATACCTTATATTCTCGTGTCATGAATCTAGTGGCTGAGCTGAGGCATTTGTGTGCACATCTTGTTTCTTGAAATACAAAATTATAGGTGTGTTTGTATTTACCTCACTGGTTTAAAGTAATCCTACTTTGAAAATAATGTAAAAGACAATCTTCTTCAGTGGTTTGTCTTTTTTGTTTTTACATTCAACATGATGCTAGTGAATCTGCAGTTAAATGACATATGTGTGCGTGACTTTAACTTGTGAAAAACCTGTTCAGAAAATGTTCAGTCTATAAATTCCTAATTGTCCAACCAGGTATTTGCTGCATGAAGCAGCTTTAATTTTTTCTTTTTTTCTTTTTTTTTTCTAGCAATCAAACATGTCTTTTTATCATGTGTTTACATTGTAAAGGGTGACATACTGTATATCTTTTGTGTGATGTGATAGTGTAAATATTCCGATAGTTGAATTGCTGCTATCATGGCTCAGTCTGTTTCATCTGTCTAGCAAAATAAACGATTTGTTACATATGACTTATTGTTCTTTTTCGCCTTGAACCGGTTTAAACCTGATGGTTTTTCATCATTTCCTTTATCCAGTTGTACATTATGACGTGAATTAAAACAACATGGATATAGATGAAATTTGGAAAGTAGTGGTAAGAACTGAACAAGATTTGTCTCTTTTTTTCTAGTGTTCTAATTTTTCCTAAACATGTAGCTGTAAGGTGCTGAATGCAGTCTAGGTGCCCTAGTATTACTTTAAGTACTACAATACTATATTTAATTCATTCAAATAGCCACAATGTAATAAAGCTTCAGTTTGAACTGCTGTGCGGACATTCAGCTTTCCTTTAAGATAAACTTCCCTTGAAATTGGCTTCAGCCACTACAGTTTTATTAATGGTTCTTTACAGTATAGTTACAACACTGCCACCTACTGGGTTTATTTTCTACAGGTAAAATTCACTGTACGCCAAGAGCGTGTCTAGTTTACGCCCAACTGTTATGAACAAAATAGATAATAAAAAGAAAGATTTTAATCCCAGACAATAATCATTCATATTACACTTCATTCAAAAAACGACTGCTAAGAGAAAATGCGATTCAATTGTTTTTAAGAGAATCTGACTCTAAAACGAACTAAAGAACGTTGTCTTAAAATGAACTAACAGAACAACATTAGTTTAAGAGTTTTACTGCAGTAGGCGAGATATCTACTTTGCTTGTTGCCGCAGTGTGTGTTGTCAACTGTTTATTTGATTCGCGGTGAAACAGAAGCTACTTAACGAAGTTGACACTAAACGGGGAGAAAGGGAGGAAACGACTCGCTGCTCTCACCCGAGGCTGTTGTAGATTAAAGCAAATCCCGGAACTTGAACCGGTTAGAGCGGAGCTAACGTCAGCTAGCATTCTGTTGACAGGCGGTTCGCTGTCAAAACTGCAGCCTGTGAAAAGTGACTATTGGTAATCACTCAGTGGGACATCTAGGGTTTGGGGCAGAGGCGTTCTGTTGGCGGTCCTGCTACGCGCGAAGTTGCAGCGAAATATTAAGGCAAATTCAACTCTAACCACTTGTGGAGCGAGAGGATGGCATCGCGAGGAGGCTTCCCCGGTTCCGCGATTAACCCGAATTTGAGTCCTATGAATGCGGGACATTCGGCGGGCATGAGAATGTCTGGACTGCCGCAGTCAATGAGCGGATACAGCCGGAGCATGAACATGTTACCCCAGTACCTGCAGGTCAGTTTGTAGCTTCATTTTAATTTCCTTTTTTTGTTGTTTACTGGGGAAAGTTAAGGTTTTGAAGTAATACACCAAGTATCCGGTAAGTAAATTGCACAGTAACTATGAGGTAAATGTATATCCTTAAAAAAACGTGTTAAGTTTAGTAAGACACTTAACGTTATTCAGTGGGAAAAACCCCACATGTTTTTACTTCCGCATTTGACTAGTGAATAAAATTACACCAACTTACATACAGTCACTTACATGCCGAACATTAAAGTTCTTACCTCCCCCCCCCAAACACTTGTTTGCCGAACACAATAGCCGTTCTTTTTGTCTTCTCCGTATCTAACTTATGTAACGTACAAAAACATTGTGTCTACATCACTCATGTGGGTTTACACAGTAATGTTCAAACAGTGTGAAAACCGACGGTTGACGTTCAGTTACACTGGTTCGTAAAAACCTGTTTTTTATCAGTGATTGAAGTGACACTTGCAAATATCTTGGCAAAAACGAATGCACCAGATGAGTGTGTAAGATCACGACCGTGTTTTGAATACACAACGTTAGCAAAACTCTCCAAACTTCACAATCTAAAGGGAATGGCATAATAAAGACATTTGAAAAGTGTCACATAGCATAGATTAAAAACAGATCATTTTCAATATCCAAGCTGCAACCTAAGACCAAGTTTTATTGTCGCTGAAGATAACACTTCCAATCCTAGCCCCTAACTATACAACAGAGACAAAAATAAAATAAAAAAAAGACTTAGGACTACAAGATATTTTTCATGTTTGGACGTAGGCAAAAGTTAACGGACAAAGAAAGAAACTGTCATAACACGACTATGATGTCACTTCTGTAGGTTCACAACAGAGAAGAATTATTTAAAAAAAAAACAATAATCATAATCATAAATAAGTGCAATTTTCCCTCAAGTATACAAAGTTGTCCCATGTTTGGACAGAATTGCTGTTGTCACACGTCCACATAAATAATCATAAGTGTTAGTTTACTTATAGAGTAATTAGAAATAATGTCTGAAGAACTTTAAGAGGGAATGTAAGACTTGAAAGCAAAACAATGAAAGCTTCTTGAATTACAAGCTCACTTGTGACATGTTTAGAGATTCGGTATAAAAGGAGTACACCCCAAGGGCTCAGTCGTCGCAAACAGTGAGGGCTCATGTCTCACCATTTCGCGGGAAACGTCACGAGGGAACTGAGAATTCATTTTGTCTGAACGCCAGAACTGCTTCTTTAAACTACTGTCTGAGATGGCCTGGAATCAGAGGCGATAAAAAGCTACTCTGTGGTCAAACAAGTAGACAGTTAGGCTTGGTTTGGTTAATAATAGATAAAACAAGAAGTACATGCTAATATACCATCGACAAATATCTGAAATTGTTAGTTCTAGAATTTCAGAGAGACACGTGTTCCCATCAGGACAGCACACTTCCCAAGAACTCACATTTTTTCAGCAGCACGAAACCAGACCTAATCATGCACAAACTTAAAAAAAAAGGCTTCATAAAAAAAAAAAAAAAAAAAAGGCTTCATAAAGTCTGAGTCTGTGTCTTATTGAAAATGTCTGACACATCACAAAGAGAAAAAGAGTCACCGCAAACGCTGGGTTGCACAAGTATTTAACACAGTGATAGTTCCTGAAACTCAGTTGTTGAATTACTGTTTGTAGTGTCTTCCACACTCAGAACTGTGTCATTAGAGCCAAATAATAACATCAGCTCTCACCCTCTCTAACAGCGCCCAGGAATCCCACCCAGTAGGGTTGGGGGCCCCATGGGATCAATGGGGGGTCAGCTGCCAGGCCCCTCTTATGGTAGTGGGAACATGCCCATGCGGCCAGGCATGGGGCCTCCGAGCATGGACGCCTCAAGGAAGCGGGTCCTGTATCAACATCAACAACAACAGCAACAGGAGGCACTGGGGGGAGGAGGAGGCCTCAGACGAGGGTAAAGTAGAGACGAGGGAGGGAGGAAAACTGTTTTTAAATATGAACAACGATGTCTGTTAACACCTTCCATCTGTTGCAAACATGAAATCACTTCAATCAACGTCGTCGACGTCGTAAACATGCAAAATACATAAATAATAATAAATAGTAATAAATTATCATAAATAATAAATAGAAATAGTACAGTTATAGTCATAGTAGGTCATAGAGTAAGAAGTATAGTGTGACAAAATATGTCATAAGAATGTCATGAATAAGTCATAATCAATAAGAGATACTATGATTCGGTGTTTAATGTAATAATATAAGTATTTTAAGGCAAGATCAAAGGTCTAAAGTATGGATTTCAAATGGAGACATTAAAAAAAAATTGTTGCGAGTCGCATCCACTGTCGAGGCTGCAATCACATGAAAAGATTCAGTAAAGAAGAGCTATAACTTTACAACAGGGCAGCTGTGTTTGTCTGCGTTAACGTTATTGCTGTTCACAGCTCCGATCACACAGATACTGAAGTATCTCATGACTGACATGTGCTGTAACTCCAGTAGATGTTTCTGACCTCAAACTGCAAAACGAGGTCACACTCATAAATGTGGTTGTTTGCGATGCGAGGCACTTTCTGAACAATAATTTTGTAATGCATTTCTCAAAATAGCCAATCAGGTTTGCGCAAGACTAAAGGCAACTATCGTAAGCTGTCATTAAAGGCGTTGTAATTAGAGGTGTAATAGAGACAAGATGCGTGATTTAATTGTAGAGACACTTTATGAAATCACTAACTACAATGAGTGGAAGCCCCGGGCTCTCACTGTGGGGCGGTAATGAAAGAAATAGCACAGGTCATGATGCAGTTTCACACTTTGAAAAAAAGTCCCACTTTGTTTGTTTGCTACTTTGTTTTCTGTAGGACAAAAAGGCGCAAGATGGCAGACAAGGTTCTTCCACAGAGGGTGGGTGTATTATCTGTTCCTTTTTTTTACCCCTCATGAACAAGGCTTCCTCTGCTGTGATTAACTGATTTACCTTTTGGTATTTTAGATCCGAGATCTGGTGCCCGAGTCCCAGGCCTACATGGACCTCCTGGCCTTTGAAAGGAAACTAGACCAGACAATCGCTCGGAAGCGTATGGAGATTCAGGAAGCAATCAAAAAGCCCATTATGGTATTGTTGTCATCAAACATTCAAGCTAACCTAAGGATGCCTTTTTGGTTCTAACCTGGCACTGGAAGACAAAAATAGTTTGTTCTTAAATGTTCTGTAATGAACATTTTCATTACAGTACATGTCGCCCCAGCCAAAAAAAGCATAATGAAGAAGAAAAAAACATACAAGTTGCTCTGGAGTATTAGTCGCACCAGTGCCCTCTAGCGACTGTCAGTGTGAAAATAACGAACATGTCAATTTTCAGTGGTATAGGAGGAGCATGTACTGGTACAGAAGCCTAGAGTGCCCTCTAGTGGCTATCAGTGTGAAAAAATCAATACTGGAATTCTGAACATTCATTGTCTAAAAACATGGCTCCAGTCATTTACTGAACATTATGTCAAAAATTGGAAGGCTTCAGGTTCGAGTCCACCAGTTGCCAAGTTACCACTGAGGTGCTCTGAGCATGGCACCGTCCCCACACACTGCTCTCCGGGTGCTTAAAGCTGCCCACTGTTCACTCTGGTGATGGGTTCCTTACTGGACCTCATGTCAAATATTGGCCTAAAAGTGTTGCGTGAGCTCACGATCTGTTCCCTCTTTCGCTTTTCCAAGCAAAAGCGCAAACTCAGGATCTACATCTCCAACACCTACACACCCTGCAAGCCTGAGGGTGAGGAGGCCGAGAAGGTCTCGTCCTGGGAGCTGAGGGTAGAAGGCAAACTACTGGAGGAGGTATGTGAATATGTGATTGAGTCACTTATGTCTCAAATTCTTTTCTCACAGCTTCGCAACTATCTCTCTGCGGTTCGATTTCTAACTATTTCTGTCTCTGTCCCTGTGTTTCTTGCAAACTTCACATTCAGTCTCCCAGCTCTGTTTGGCTCATGTCCTTGGCTCAACCATGCAACCAGATGTGTATTTGCAGCGCTCCTCGCTCCACCCCATGACTACGCACAGAATCAAACACACACGCACGCACACAAGCTCGTGTTCTTTTTTTGAAACAAGGAATTGAAACCAAAGCCTTTACATTCCAATAACTGATATGTCTCCCTGCTCTCTATCAGTTCCCGCTCAACTCGTGTTGTCTCGGACAGACCACATAAAGGAGTCGTTTTTTCTGTCTACTTCTCTCTGTCTCTCTCTCTATC